CCGAGGCCCCGTCGTGGCCAGCCAATCAGAAGGCAACTTGTCTTTAACGCCGGCCAACCGGCTCTCGGGCTGGAGGGTTTAACTCATATTTAAAAAGAAGAGGCTCTGCTTCCTAACGGTTGCGCTGTTGGGAGGAGTTGGCGACTTCGGGTCGGAGGAGGCTGGTGACCAGTGTGTGGCGGGCAGGGGTGAGACCTGGGGCCAGGGTAGCTGGTGGGGGCGGCCTAAGGGTGGGTGGCGGGGCTGGGGGCCATGGGCCCGAGGGGAAGGGTGAGCGAGGGCACCTTCTCTGCCCCCCGCGTCCACCCGGGCCTTTCGGATGCGTTTTCACCGGGGCACCCAGGCCCTTTGGAAATGCCCCGTGTTGTTTATACTCATCGAAGGCGGGTAGGGGGTGTTGAGAGGTGTTGGCAGTGCTTACGATGGGATTCTCGTGTTCACCGGGCAGCTGGGAAAGAAGTGCGGAGAGGTCGCTGCCATCCTGGCGGGGCGGGGGGCGAGGTGGGGGGCACAGACCATGAGCTAGCGAGATACCTTCCAGCTGCGATGGGTGTTCCGAAGGCCAGCCGCTGCCTGGGCGGACGATGAGGCATCGGCTCCCGGAAAGATTTACAGCGATTCTCCTCCGCCCCGTGTGGTCGCTGAGTTGGTATCGACTTCATGGCTGTGGCTGCCTGCTTTAGGTACTCGACTGTGTCCGAAGTAGGCACTGGCACCTACCCCGAGGCTCTGCGGTACAAAGGTCTGGCGATCTGATTTCCGTAAAGGTCAAAGACTAGAAAAATTTGGGCTGGGGCGTGGCTGTGAGTTGGAATGGCTCATGGTACCTTGAGGGGCACAGACCCTCTGGAGAGAGGGTCTACTCTGTCCACGTGGGCTTGCATAAGTGGGAATTGACTGGGTGGCGGGGAAGGGGCAACTACCAACAACTTTACAAGAGGAGCCTGGGAAGGGGCTTTTCCTGGACGATTGAGTGAATGAGCAAATACAGGACCAATCACTTCTGCAGAGGCCTTCCTAGGGGACAGTGTTTCACCAACCTACATGGGATTCTATGGGGTCCTTGTAGAAAAGTGTACGTCTCCGTGGTGGCACAGTGGTTAAGCACTCAGCTGCTAACTGAAGGGCCAGTACTTCAAACCCCTACCAGTTGGCTTCCGTCAAGGTTAGAGCCTAGGAAACTGTGTGGCAGCTTCGCTTGTTGGTATCAGTCTGTTGAACAGGTAGGCCCCCCCTGCTGCACACCCGCTGGATGAGAAGCCCTTGGAAAAGACCCAGGTGTCTGTTTTCAACAAGCACTCCAGGTGATTTTGATGTGTCGGTGAGAGCTAGTGCCCCGCGCTGGTGCTCAGTACTATCTGGGGTAGGGAAAATGCTGGATCTCACTTAATGGTTGGCTGGGCTTGAGGAACAACAGGCAGGTGATGTAGCTCCTGCTTCTGACTTTGAATCCTGACGCCACCACCTCCTCCCTCTTCCTTTTTCTTGGGCTTACATTTCCTAGTGAGTGAATGTGGTGGGGGTGGGGACCTCTGCTCCCCCCTCCCCCCAGGCTGCTGCTTGTGATAAGTAGTACAGATGAAAACCCATTGTCTAGGAAGTAGTGTTTGCACAATGCATGCAAGCAGATAAGAGGGAAAGCATTACCTCCAGGTTCCAGGTCATACAGGCCCTGGCTCGTACCAAACAAAACATGATAAAACATGTCTGTCACCAGTCGGTAGTGCAGACAATTTCTCTCAGTAATCCTTGGCTTAGTCACTGTCGAATAACTTTTAAAAGTTCAATCAATAACAACGGCTTCTAGGGGATCTTCTGCGCGAGGCGGAAAGGTCAGCCCAGAAGGTTATGGTGGTGACGTTTAGGATTCCGAAGGAGTAATCTTAACAGATTTTCTCAAAGGACACAGGACGACCGCAGGAGTTTTAGGAAGAAGTTTTAAGAGGGAAAAGTGCATTTGGTGAGGAAAAAGGCCAGGCAAGTTAGGCGGAGGAATTTTATTTTCCACCACAGGGTAGCCAGGGCCATTTGACAGAGAGCTTCATTGGGGAACCTAAGCGCGTCCACTACAGCCTGCTCCAAACTTTTTGGCAGTGTGCAGAATTATGTGGGGACGGGTTAGCGAGGCGGGAACACAACCCTCAGAAATAAACAGACTTAGATGATGGAGACTGTGGCGAGAAAGGGTAGCTTCACATTTGATATGTTTGTGTAATAGGGCTTTCTCCGATTGTGTATCAACATTGTAAATGCATTTTCTGTTTCTTTTTTTGGTAAAAATGCTCGACATATGGAACCTGGGCTCCTGGGCCTCTTCTTCACAGAGCGGTCTGTGTCTTGATAAAGGGGACCGGGCGCGTTGGGATGTGCTCTGGGGGAGTCGCATAACCTGCGAGCAGCTGAGTCAGAAGTCTGCTGTCTAGGTGGCTGTGTCTGACTGAGAGGGTGGGTGCGTGACCCGCACCTGCAGAGGGTTTGCACAGGGAGAGGTGGAGTGGGATTTCTAAGAAAGACAAACAGGGTTAGGAGGACTTGTGCAAATGCAGCAACCAGCAAATGTATTTTTTAGCCAGCAGATATATATACCATCAGTATCAGGAAGCAGGGTACAATAAACCTAAGTGTTTATTCAAGCTGACTAAGATGTTCCGTTACTTTTCTAATCTAAGAATGACTAAAGAACATTCTGTAGCTAAAACATTCCCTTCTCCTCCTAGTTCCTTATCTAACAGAACTCCCTGCACAGGCTGTTCTCCACAAAACAAACTCATAGGACTTGACATGAACTATTAAGATGTCAGAGGTAATGAAGGGTAGAGTTCAGGGCTGTGCCGTGTCCTCTCCACCGCTCAGACTTTGCCTGTAAAGCGACGGTCCCCAACAGGTGGGGACTTGGGGGCTGTACCATACACGCTTTACTCTTGCTCCGCTTTGTCTAGGTTGGTTCACAGCCATCTGCACACTCGGTGTCAGGCTTTGTTGTAGGTTCTGGGCCCAGAACTGAACAAAACAGGACAGAGCCCTTGCCCTCGTGGAGCTGCCTGTGGGAGAGAAATCCGACAAGCACGTCTCCACAAAGGGCTGTGAAGGACAGTCGGGGTGGGTGGTCCTGGAAAGAGACCCCCCTCAAGTCACGCATCTGAGGAAAGAACAGGAAGAGCAAAGGCCCCACAACGGGCGGCCTACTGGAGGAGAGGAAGGGGTCCCCGATGGACAGCGCCCACTGCACGCTCCGGCACTCCGGGGGCCTGCCACGTGCCCCAGGTCAGGGTTTCTTTGTTAGGCTTGAGGTGGGGGTGGGGGGGCATAGACTTCTGACCCAGCAGGGAGGTGGAGCTGCAGAGATTCGCTTGGGCAGGTGGTGATAGGGAGGGGATGAGCGGTGATTTTGGAAGGTGGGGCTGGGGCCCAGCAGACCCCTGGTAGCTTAGAAGTAGGGTATGAGGGAAGGACTTGGGTAAGGGTTTTGGCCTGAGCAGCTGGCCAGGTGGACTTCCTGTGAGGACAGACCTGGGTAGGTAGGGGTGGGGAAGGATCAGGACTTCCATTTGGGTCGGTTAGAATCGAGATGCCTCTCCAATGCTGTGTCCGTGGTGGGCAATTTGAGCCTGGAATTGAGGGAAGGGTTGTGAGCTGGAAATGGAAATGAGGGTGTCAACAGCTTGTGGAGATGGGATGTGCTCACTGCAGGATGTGAAAGTGGACGGAAAGACGTGCTTCCAGATGGGGCTCAGGGCCTTCTTGTGAGTAGGGACTCGGAGACATTTGTTGTTGTTTTTTTTTCTTCCTGTATTAATACTGAGCTGCTTGGTACACCTGTCTGATTGTCGGATACCTGATGTGCTCAGGGGAGAGCTCAGGGCGGAAGATGTGAATTTGGGCCCCGGTACTTGGTTGGGTGAGTGTAGCCAGGAGGGAAAGAAAGGCCTGACTCTTCCAAGTGAGCGCGGTGACCCTCGTCGAGGCAGAGGTGGGGAGGAGGCGCTCTTGGACACGAGCCGGGATTGAAGGGCTACAAGGAGCAGGCCCTGCCGCTGAGTGTTCAGGCAGGGCAGTTCACTGCTGGCTTTGGAACCGCAGTCCCATCCCGGGGACAGCTCAAGGGGGTGGACTCAGGAGAATGTACTGCAAGGGACCTTCTTCCGGAGCCTTGCTGTTGAAAGGTGAGGAGGTAGAGCGTGTTTGAAGGTGGCACATGTCACGGCGGTGGAGGGAGCCCCAGAGCAGAAGTGTGTTTGGGAGTGTGCACGGGGCGGGGGGCCGTGCATTTCACGGCGTCATCCATACTAGACAGCACTGCCCCAACCAGCTCATTTAGCCGAAGAAAGGCAGGGCACACTTCTGTGTCTCGCTGGAGTGGCTCGAAGCTGCAGGTGGGTTTGTGTGAATTAAAGATGATTCTCTTTCCTTTCAGGCATCATGGAGCGAGCTAAAGAAAACTTCATTTCCGGACCCATTAAGGTGATTGGGTGGGATGCTTGCGATCCTGTCTCAGGTGGAGATAAGTCCCCTATCTGGAATGCTTGCCTTCAGTTGTCACTGTGGATGCTGCCCTGCATGCCCCACTCCGACTGGCCCTTTACGAAGTTCCCTCAGTGTAACTGTCCTTTCACCGTGTCCTCACAGTTAGTGCTGCCCTCCCCTGTGTGCAGGAAAGTACCGACACAAACCCAAGCGCAAGACAAAGCCCAGCTGCACCCACGCCCATCTGGTGGATGCCCTTAGACGAGATGGGAGCCCCCTGTCTGTGCTTCCAGATTGATCTGTGCTTTCCTGGATGCCTCTCCCGTCTTGCTAGCCAGAGGTTCACTTCTGTGGCCCAGAAGGTTCTGCACTTTAGACAGCATTTCCTGAGAACTTGCTTTGGCTGCAGGGATTACAATGGTAGAAAGCCCCGGGCCCTGGAGTTTAGAGAACTCAAGCTAGCCCTATGCCTGGAGATGGCATGCGCACTCCCCAGGGGTAGCAGTGTACAGCCTGGGGTGGGGCAACCCCAGGAAGGGCTTCCCCCAAGAAAATCTGAGTGCTTAGTGAGTGTTTGTGGGGCACTGGGAGAGGAAGTCTTTATAATATGATAGATTCCCCAGTAGAAATAATCTCCAGCTTGTTTTCGTTCTTAAAAATCGGCATAGAATTCTAAGTTGCCTACTTTAAAAATTTCTAGTTTTGTGGTAGGGACTTATTTTCAGAATTCTCCATCTTTAAATAGATGGATGCTCACCATTCTTAGTGGTGCGAAGTGTAAATCTGTCAAGAAGAAGCTAAACAGAATCATCGTGCCCATTTTATTTTGGGCGCCTTTAAAAACAAGGTCTGTGTTCACCACGCTTGTCTTCCTGTGCCATGGCCTCAGTGCTGGCTGCCCGTGAACATGGCTCCTTCCAGAAGGACCTTGCTCTGCACGTCAGACAGTTGTTTCCTGCACCGATTGTGTTGCTGAAACCATATTTTTTGGTAATGGAAGGCACTGATTGAAATGGGAAAAAAATTTTTTTTTTTTTAGATAATCTGGGTTTTGAAACAGTTATTGAACACATGTCCCAAGGGTCTCTGGTGCTGGGGTTTGGTGGGTGAGCGAGCCACCTTTCTGAGAGTCTCAGAGTTCTATAGACCCCACACCAGAAGGCAGCATGCCACCTAGTTAAACCCCAGGGGTGGGCACTGTGTGTCCCATGGGTCACAGAAGGGTTAAAGCGTTGACCCCTGTGCCCGTAGAATGACTAGTTTTGTTTTTGTTTTGTTTCCACCACCGATTCTGATGAGAAACTGAGGCTGGAGGGAATCTCATCCATTTTAGGCTGACTGGCTCGAGGTCTTAGGGTTAAATGAACAATCTTTTTAAGCTCTGAGTGTGTGGAGTGCACAGTTTGTTAACTTTCTGAAGAGCCTCCGTCTAGTTCTTCCTTGTTGAAATTCTTTGTTCACCGCTGTCTGCAAACTTCGACAAGCAAGAGAAAATAATCGCCGTGCATGAGCTCCCTTTGTGCGAAGTCTGGCACACAATGAATGCGGACAGTCTTCTCAGACTGTAGCCAGCACGGAGTCTTTTGTTGCATTGCTTGTTTTTCTTTCTAACACAGATATTTCGAGCAGATTTCAAAATTGGAAATGAGCCGTCAGTGTCGAGTGTGTGTTCGGAGGCTTCTTTGTGAAACAGCAACTTGGTGTTGTCCAAGGCCCTGCGAACACGCCTTGTGTCGCTGAAGGAGGTGCTCCTCCGGGGTTCTGGTCCCCAGCGTGCGTAAAAGTCGCATTGCCGCTGTACTTTAGGGAGTGTAACAGCATGATGGGAAGCTTGCACTACTGTGAGAACGACCCGACTGTGGCACAGAGACAAAGAAGCACATGCTACTGGAAAAGTGATGCAGGGTTACCACACACCTCTGATCGTGGGGGGAAACAACGCTGCTTTCTGGAAGCCTGACAAAGCTCTGCTGCCTCCCCTGCAGCAATGTCCCCTTACTGTTCGAGGAAGAGCTTTGGGCACTTTCCACCACGGCCACCTCCCGTGCGCGAAGCCGTAACCCTGCTCTTGTCTTCCCTTCTGCCCAGGCCACCCTGGCACACAGCGACGGCCCCAAGCGTGTCCCGGTGATGCAGCGGATTCCTTCTCAGAACCCGCTGTCCTCTAGTGGTGGCCAGGCCCAGAGGGTCTTGTGTCCCTCGAATTCCTCCCACAGTGCCCCTGCCCAGGCACAGAAGCTGGCCTCCAGTCGAAAACCCTTGCCGAGCCAGAGCCAGAACCTAAAGCGGAAGCCCTTGCAGATGACTGCCGCCCCCCGGCCCGTTTCTCAGCCACCGAGCAACCCCCCGAAGACCGAGCAGGCCCTGCCACCACCGCCACCAGGGTCTGGTAAGGCAGTTTGGGGCCTCCTTGGAGAAGCAGGGGTCTTTCTAATTGTTGCAGCCAAGCGGAGCCCATGAATGAGCTGAGGTTACTGCCTGAAGACTTAGCATTTACATCCTGCCTCCTGAGGGCAGGGAGGGACAGAGGGTTCAGGCTGAATGACAGTGCTTCTGTGCTGGGAACACAGCCTGGTCACCACCCTCACAGCACATCCCCTGCACCTCAGATGGCTGAAGGGGGGGGTGGGGCTGCAGGGTGCCTGGTGGTGTGTTAGTGAACCAGCTGCTCCTTTTTCCACTGAGATGAGAGCATTGGGGGTGTGGGCAGTTCTGGGGTGCAAGGCTTACTGTAGCAGCAGCACTTGGAGGAGGGCCTGGGTATGGGGGAGCCCGCCTGCCAGGGCAGTGGTATTTGCGGGGCTTCATCTGTGTGCTGGCAGCTGCCCGAGGATGGGGGCGAAGGGCATTTTAGACAGTGCCCTCTGGGTGTCCCAACCAGATTGATGAGTCACGCTGCGGGGTCCCGGGACACCCAAGAGGCTGCCCTGCAGTGGGTTGGGGCCCGGTGGCTGGCAGTGGTTCTCCGTGATGCACAGACGACTCTGCTGTGTGCTCCCCTTCATCTGCCTTCCCACCCTCCCAGCCCCGCCGGTGCCTTACCCCCAGGAAGACCCTGAGAATCAGGCTAATAAGCAAAGGCTGGGGAGGTGCAGGCAGGTGAGAGCCGCCCCCCCTAGGAAGAGAAGGAGGGGTGGTGGTGAAGCCTGGGGGAGGGGACCAGTGGACCTGCCAGCAGATGTCTAGGCTGAGCAAAGGGCCATGTGAGCATGCAACAGTTCTGAAACTCCAGGGCGCTGATGACGGCTGCCCTAGGAACCTGCCTTGTGCCTGTTTCAGCCAGGGCGGGGCTTCTGTTTCTACTTTCCCGTTCCACAGGGCACGGAGGAGGGAGGGTCCTGGCTGGGCTGCATAGTTTTTATGGGGCTGTACGAAGGAGCGCTGGCTCACTTCTGATGCTCCAGGGCTGCTGGCACAGAAGAACCTTCCGGGGGTGGTATGAACAGACGAATCTAGAAGTGGAAGTCCAGGTTCAGGCCGCCAGTTCCAGGCACTGACTTTTTTTCTCTCGTCAGGTGGGAGGTCCTTGAAACATCTGGGCCCCCTGTCGTGTGTGTGTGTGTGTGTGTGTGTGTGTGTGTGTGTGTGTGTGTGTCTCTCTGTGTGTCTGTGCCTCTGTCTCTGTCTTCCCCGGGGATCTAGGAGGCTCACAGTGTGGGGACTGAGAGGCTGACTGAATGGAAACCGCCTCTTCCTGCAGAGTGCGGCCTGCCCTGCCTCATGAACATAGCTGCCTCTGATCTTGTCTCGCTAACCATCTGCATCTCGATTCATTATTGACAGGGTTTGTTTTGTTTTTAATCTATGTAGGAAATAATTCTGTGAAGGAGCTGGCACCAAAACAGAAAAAAGAAGAATCAAAAAAGTAAGCTTTACTTACATGCATAGTTCTTCACCTTCACAACACATTAAATATAAATTGGTTAGCGGAACTCTTAAAAAGCCATAGATTTTTATTTTAATTTAGAAAACTGGTTATCAGAACATGTCCAGGTCTCCAGTCTTTATTAAAAAAATTTTTTTTTCTTTTTAAAAATAATTTTATTGGGGGCTCTTACAGGTCTTGTAACATTCCATACAATTGTATCTAGCACATTGGTACATATGGTGCCATCATCATTTTCTAAACATTTACTTTCTATTTGAGCCCTTGGTATCAGCTCCTCTTTCCCCCTCTGTTCCCTCCCACCCAAAAGGAACTTTTAAAAGGATGGCAGTTATTGACTAGGGACTCAAGCTGCGCTTCTCAAATTTAGAGGAAGCCTGTGTGAATCTGATACCCAGAAATGTGTTTCAGTAAAAGCTGCTTTCTGCTTTTAAAAGTAATCGCGAGATGTGGTTTGTGCCCGCTTCTAGATTTGCTCTTTTACACGAAAGCACACATTGACTCAAACAGGCATGTGGTCCTGAGGCAGAACTATACACAGATTGTGCATGGCTGTTTTGTGAACAATAGTAGTGAAAATACTGAATGTAATATAAAGGTGATACAACATCTTCCCCAGAGACTGTGAAAACCCCTGAGCTGTCCAGAGCCTTGAATGTAGACACAGCACCTGGGATGAACCTGCCCCAAGACTGTCCTGCTTCTAAACCCAGGGGATCCCGCCTGCTCCCACCAACCACAGTGGCTCAGTGTCCACCCCAGGGTCTGCATGTCTGGGGATGTGGAATAAGAGGCAGATGGTGTCTAGGAGGCTCACGTGTTTCTGAAACAGGCTTCCCTCCCAGGTGGCTTCTAGCCATGTTGCTAGAGTCGAGTTGGGACTAGGCTTTCAACCCAGGATGTCCCTGTTCAGAGGGTCAGCTTGTCCCTTTGTCTCGGAGGAGGAGTGCCTCTGCTGCAGTGCGGGGAGCAGGGCGGCCTCTTTCTTGGGGTGGGTGCAGATCCAGGGCAGCTCTCAGGATGACATAATTTAATGTGCCAGCACCACCGCTGACAGATGGTTGGGGTAGATCAATTTCTGTGCTCCTGTTCCTTCCTAGGAGGCAGTGGGCCTTGGAAGATTTTGAGATTGGCCGCCCACTGGGCAAGGGGAAATTTGGTAATGTTTACCTGGCGAGAGAGAAGCAGAGTAAGTTCATCCTGGCTCTGAAGGTGCTCTTTAAAGCTCAGCTGGAGAAGGCGGGGGTCGAGCACCAGGTCAGGAGAGAAGTGGAGATCCAGTCTCACCTCAGGTAAGCTGCGCACTGGGGCCATGCAGAGCGTCACGCTGTCGAGATGATCGGGCTGGGTCAGGGTGCCTCTGGCTCAGGATGCCAGTGACTGACTCGGTGCCTCTGACTCTGTGACTTTCCCTGGGATCGGGCTGGACTCTGTGCCGTGGGACCGAGGAAGCACTTGGCAGGCTTACTATTTTGGTGGTGACGTAATTTGCAAGCGTGAATACATTTTGCATTTTTCTCCGGTCTCGGGGGCCCTCCCTCTTGTTCTGAGCTAGGCAGAGGGCACCCACAGGTCACCTACAGGCTGATTCTGGCCTGCGTGGGTTTGGCTTTCGTTTTTCCTGTGCTTTCACAGCATGGACCATTGCAGTGGACTGCTGTTGGTACTTAAGAACCTGGCTTCCTTGGGCCTGAATCTAGCCATGGCAACAGCGGGCAGGAGTTCAAGGGGTGCAGCTTCTCCAGCAGACATGCTGGCCACCTGGGGCTCTTGCCTGTTCCGCTGCACAGTCCAGTGGCTGCATTGGACACTGGACATGTCTTCTGCCTGTTGGTGTTTGATGATCTAACCTGGGGAAGTGCTGCGTCCTGCGGCACATCTGTAGGCAGCTAACGAATAACTGAATTTTACCCCTAAGACCAGTGCTGCCTACAGGAAGGACATGACTATCTTAACCCGAGGCCCGCAAATTCCTTGAACTTGCACAGAAAGTGATATGTGGGTGTTTCTCTTTGAAATGGGTTCAGAATCTCGAGCGGGGAGCTGGGATGGGCTGGAGAAAGGGCCATGACCCAAAGCAGTCAAGTCCCACTGGCTTCGCCAGAGAGGTTCTTTATGCAGCACATATTCTCGGGGGTGGGGGGAGACACCACCAGTCATGGCCATGTGTGTCCTTGGTTGCAGGCACCCCAACATTCTCAGGCTGTATGGTTACTTCCACGACGCCACCAGGGTGTACCTCATCCTGGAGTACGCCCCTCTGGGAACCGTCTACAGAGAGCTCCAGAAGCTTTCCAAGTTCGATGAGCAGAGGACAGCCACAGTGAGTCTCCCAGCAGCCACTGCCTCCGGGCCAGCGATGCCTTGTGTGGTGAGAACGTGGCCCGATGTTGCCACGGGCCGGGAGTGGAAACTCCAGCTGGGCCGTTATGAACAGGCCGTCCCAGAAATGGGTCTGGGGTACCTGGCTGCTTTGCGCTTCCATGGCCATTGTTTTGGCAAAAATGTACATAGCTAGTTAGTTGTCCTTCTTTTCAAATCTTAATTCTTTTTTAGACAATCGACGTTTGTAAAATGCTTTTAATATTTGCAAAAAACCATCATGAGGGAAGAGCCTCATGACAGGGGCGCCTTGGTACTTACGCGTAGTTGTCAGCATTCCTGCCTGAGCCCGTTTCGCTGCCCGCTCTCCACAGCGTGTCCGTAAACTCCCACTCCTGCCATGACTTGCTCAATGGCTGATGCCAGCATGCATGTGCAGCCCCCCCCGGGGCAATGACTGTACCCATCAGCGTCTGTGTGTGCTGTCGGCTCCCCTCTCTGCCACTGCCAGGCCAGCACCTTCTCCAGGCACCCCTACGTCTGCAGCACGGTCTTTCATCACAGGCTGCATTCTCTCCTGGGATCCCCTGACCTCCCAATGGTTCAGAATTGTGTTGTTTTTGCATGCCTTAAACTTCACTCAGGGCTGTATACTCTGGGCGGCAGTGGGTGGTCATTTTGATTGGCTGCTGTCACTTAGGGATATGCACGCAGGACCATTCTTCCTGTCCCTCCTGGCTTGATGTCTCATTGCTCTCTCTGAATAAAGATGCCTTTGGGTGAATGTGCCCGAGTGTGACCACCCTGGCTGTGTGCAGTGTTTGGCACTCAGGCCCTGGAACCGTGTTCCCACCTCCCCGAGCAGTTCCTTCCCCACCAGCGTCAACCCGCTGCCCACGAAGGCTCCCACCTGGTCTCGGGCTGCTCTTGCTCTCGTCCATGCCAAACACAGATCTCTCTCTTGTAGAGTGACACTCGCAAGTTTTTATTTTTAATTATCTTTTTTTAATTCTTCTCCCAAAGATGGTTTTTGGGCAAAGTTCACAGGGTGGATTAGGTTTCCATCCAACCCGATTCTACACACACTGTTGAGGGACGTTCTTTATACCCAGTGAATATTCTCATGATCTCCATTCTGGTTGCTCTTTTCTCATCTTGGTTTTGAAGCCATGGTTGACAGGTCCCACGTGGCAAGTGGATTTCCTCAAGCAGCACAGAACTGGATGGGTGGTCCTGAGACTGTGCCGGGCTGTTGTTTAGCTATGTCTTGGGGGGAGGGTAGCTCAGCCAGATGGCCTAGGGCGTTGCCCCTCCAGGCTCCACCAGCCCAGTAAGCCCGGTTTACAGCCATCGTGTACAGGCACTGGTTTGCACACCGAGTCCCCTCCCGCCTGCCTGTTTTGAGTGGCTCATCGTGCTGGGCCCAGTGCAGGATGGGAGTGCAGTGCTGCCCCATCGCCACCAGCACCCCACCATATCCCAGTGAGCAGAGCTTCACACTGGCCCTCCAGATTGCTTTGTTTGATTTACAGAGACACAGAATGAAGTTTGTTTCAAAACCCATGCCAGTCTCTGGTGGGGTCATCCTGCTGAGATGGAAGTGGCCTGGGTTGGGTGAATCCACTTAGCCGGGACTTACCACTCATCCTCTTTCCTGCAGTACATCACAGAATTGGCAGACGCCCTGTCCTACTGTCATTCCAAGAAAGTTATTCACAGAGACATTAAACCAGAGAACCTGCTCCTGGGCCCCACTGGGGAGCTGAAGATCGCGGATTTCGGGTGGTCGGTGCACGCCCCATCTTCCAGGTGAGTCACCTCCAAGGGGGACATTGGTGGGCTGAGCAGAAGCCCCGGGGCACTCATGAAGTCACAAGATCCTGGCATGTAACTTTCCGCCCCTGGCTCTAATTTGGCGCCATCTCGGCCTGACAGCCTGGAGCCCCAGAGAGGTATTGGTTATGTATCGGGCTGTTAACTGCAAGTTCAGCAGTTGAAAACCACCAGCCACTCCATGTGAGAAAGATGGGGTTTTCTACTCCAGTCAAGAGACTTGGAAACCTACTGGGCAGTTTTACCCTGTCCTGTATGACACTGAGTTGGCATCGACTTGATGTGAGGTATTTTGGGTTGTTGGAGGCCTGATAGCAAACTAGTCTCCCCTAAACCTTTCTTCTGCCATCACTTGGGGGCTGCTGGTGCTCAGGCCTGAGGAGTTGGAGGCTTTCCTCCTTGGAAACTCGTGATGTGGCAGGAGGGACGTTGGTGGCAGGGAGGCATGTGCATGGTGGTGTGTGAAAAAGCTGTTGCTGAGCAGCCTGTACTTTGGGGAAACAAGCTGGGCTGGATTCAGTGGAGAGACAGAGCAGTTAGTGATTCTTGTTCTGCTTTTGCCGGCAATAGGATCGAGCAGTTAGTGATTCTTGTTCTGCTTTTGCCGGCAATAGGATCGAGTCTTCCCCCAGCTTAAAGCTGGAGCAGAAAAGCCAAGCTCATGAGACAACTTCAGTCTTAGCTGGCCAGGCGAAAAGAGCCAGCACATTCCCTACAGTTTCTTCTTGGTTACAGTGGGCTTCTGAGACTATGGTGTGGGGCACTGAAAAGGAACCCCAGGTCGGCTGTGGGTTAGGCCCTGGCTGCTAACTCCCTGGTCGGAAGTTCGAACCCACCAGTTGCTCCTCAGGATAAAAATGTGGCTGTGTGGCCCCCCAAAGATGCCCAGCTTCAGAAGCCCCATGGTGCGAGTGCTCCACCCTGCCCTATAGGATCACTCTGAGTCACAACTGACTTTGACAACAGAATTTGGAGGGGTTTGTTTTGTTTTAATCAGTTTTTGCAAGTAAGGTGAGCTTATGGGGCCGATCAGTTTTCTACTCCGTTCATCCACCGCTGTCGCCTCGTTGTTCCATCCTCACCTGCCTTCCTGTGTGTCCTGCCCCCTTCCCTCCTCCCTCCCCTCTACACCCAGTCCTTGGGCAGATGCCGCCCTTTTGCTCTTACATGGTTGTTTGTTTTGGTGGCACTGTGGGCGTACCCAGCCATGGTTAGGGTTTGCCATCTTTGAGGGGTGGAGTCCAAATGAAGTTTTATCTCATTGTTTGCAATTCCTTCAATGCAACGTGACGGCCACCTCCTCCCTGTGCTTCCTGGCACCCTTCCTCCTCCTCGCCTAGCCCTCCAGACTGGATGAATGCTGCCCTTCTGGTCTCCGGTGGTTTCCAAGGGTCCTCCCTAGTGTTGCTCTCCACATGGATCTATTGTGGTTCCTTTCCAGACTGCTGAAGGGTGGCCAAGGCCCTTACAGACGTCTGTTTAGTAATTTGGGGCCCAGGTTTCACAGGGCTGGTAGATTAAACAGTCTGGGTTTCTTTGGGGCAAACCCTGGTTCCCCTTCCAGCACATTCAATCAGGTATGGGCTTGAGGCAGTTCCATGCTGTCTGTTCTCCTTAATACCCAATACTCACATCTGCCAGACATTAGTCCACTCACTGCTGTTCATCCCATTCATAGTGACTTATCCCATAGTTACAGTTTCCAAGACTGTAGCTTTGGGAATAGATAGCCTCTTCTTTTTCTCATGGAGTGGCTGGTGGTTTTGAACTGCTGACCTTGAGGTTAGCAGTCCAAGGCATAAGAAATGCTGATTGATCTGTAGTGGACTCAAACACAACAGTGATATATTCTAGCTTTATCTCTCCTTCACGCTTGGATGCTCTTCTCATTCCTGTGCATATGGCCTTGCCCTCTGCCTGGGTGGAACCGGAGACCTTGTTCATTATCATATCAGCAGTCATCTAGTTTGCCCAGCTTGGCTTTTGCTCCAGGCACTCATTCCACACAAGATTTTTCTCTCAGCTGCAGACTTATAGGTAACAGCCAGGGTAAGCAACCTGGGGGTCACGCTTCCCCTCACAGGCCCCTGGTGCTTTCTCAAGAAAAACGGTATTGCAACCAGTCCTTGCAGGGCTTCCCCGTCACCATCAGCCCAAGGCCGACTGACTGCTGAGGCAGAGCAAAGTCACCCTCCTCATGCAGCCTTTTTTACCAGATCTCCCATGGGCCACTCCATGCCTCTGCTGGACTTGAGAATTCACGGGCAAAGTCATTGAGAATTCAGAGTGGCTCCTCAGAACTTACATAATATCCACAACTGGGGTGTTTTAGAGAAGCAACAGATTCTAATTCAGGATCCGGAACACTTAGGATACAGCTGTTCATCAGGATGGCCTCTTCTCAGCCAAGCATGCAGTTAGTAGGACTTACTTGCCCTTGGCCTGACCTCTGCCCTGTTTGGGGAGCGTTACAAAACTCTTTAACTCTTCCAACACATCACCTGGGGCGCCCTAGTATGCCAGGAATCCATTTTCTGGAGTTCCTCAGCTCTCACTCTGGGCTGGTACACCCATGGGCCAGGATGCCCATCTTGCTCTGATCTGCTTCTGCTACAGCTGTTTATCTGCCACTGCTAACATGTGCTGTCTCTGATGTTACAGCTGCCTGTGTCTTGGGCCTTGGTGGTTCTCGTGGCAGGGGTCCCAGGTCCAAATGACTCACCCCCTTCATGGTGCTTCTCTTTAGTAATAAGATTGTCCCCCTTTTGCCTCTGGTTGTATTAAGCCCAGTGAGATCACAACGCTGACCAGTCCTCTCAATGCGGTTCTGTGTACCTTATTTGCATGGCCCATCTCCACAAGGAGTGTGCTTTGGTGGCAGGGTGGATGATGACTGGCTGCTAACCACAAGGGTAGTGGTTCAAACCTGCCAGCTCTGCAGGATAAAGATGGGGCTAGCAACTCCTGTAAAGCTCTAGAGCCTCAGAAACCCACAGGGACAGTTCGACTGCCTTATCGGGTTGCTGTGAGTCGGAATCGGCTTGATGAGTTTGGATTCCCACAGGGATGTATCTATGTAGTAACAGGCTCCGTTCTTCTTAGTGGGATTTGAGCACCTTGTCTGCATAGCTCCACTCAGGAAGGCCAAATAGAAGCGGCGCTCCATCACACTGCACAGTTGGGACTCAGCTCGGTTGCTAGCCCTATGATTATACAGAGACCCTTAATCTTTTGTATCTAGTAATGGGGGATTATTGCTTAAAATAGTTTTTTTGGCTAGAAATAGGCAAAACATATACCAATTCAACACATTAAGCACTTATTTGACATTAAACATTTCTGTGCCCCATGGGGCTCCATGGTTTCATGAAGTCTGAATTCCAAAATAATTTGAAATTCTGTGCTGTATTTATTTTCTTCCCTTTCGATCACCATGCTATAGAAATGTGAACTTATCATTGTATCGGCATAGAATCTGGCCTAGAGAACACAGTAAATGCTAGGCTGCTTGCTAATGGTTTTCAAGACGCCCCTCGCTCGCTCGCCCTCCCTCCCTATCCAGGAGAACCACCCTGTGCGGCACGCTGGACTACCTGCCTCCCGAGATGATCGAGGGCCACATGCACGATGAGAAGGTGGACCTCTGGAGCCTCGGCGTCCTTTGCTATGAATTTCTGGTTGGGAAACCCCCTTTTGAGGCAAACACGTACAAAGAAACGTACGACAGAATTTCACGGGTAAGCCAGCCCCGTAAGGGATCCTTCACTTGTCTGATTGCCCCCTGGTTCACTTCAGAGACTGAGCGTGAGCGTCTTCCTCTGGTCGTTACAGCTCCCTCCTCTTCATTGCACTGCAGGTTGCGTTCTCATTCCCCGAGTCGGTCACAGTGGGTGCCAGGGACCTCATTTCAAAGCTGTTGAAGCATAATCCGAGCCACAGGCTGACTCTGAAGGAACTCCTGGAGCACCCCTGGATCACAGCCAATTCGTCCAAACCCCCAAGCAGCCAGAACAGAGAGCCAGCTGGCCAGCCATCGTAGGAACCTTACAGGGGACCATCTGAGCCAGAGCTGCGGTGGGCTCCAACAGGGAAATTAGTGCCACGGAACCCTCGTCATCTGCAGACCACCCGCCCTGCACCGAGCGCCGCAGGTGGGGTGGCCTGTCTATGGAGCAGGCTTCGGCCTCCCTATTCAGAAAGCCCCACTTCTGCCCATGTGATGTCCGCTGAACTCACCGGCTGCACGGGCAGCTGCACGGGCACTGGGAAACAGGCTGAGGCTGGTGGCGGGAAGTGCTGCCCGCGCCCCGATCTCCACCCCAGGAGGCCCTTGTGCAATAGCCTCCCTGCTCCTGCGTGTGTGTAACTTATTGGGTGCTTTCATTGTTCTGATAAAGACTTTGGCAGACCGATTTTTACTTCGATTGTATCCCTGCTGGCACATGCAGGGCACTCAGCCCCCTGCCATCTGCCTGGGTTTCTGGCCCACTCTTCCTCACCCCTGTCCCGGGTGGCCTTTCAGACTGGCACATGCTCCATCTCAGGTGGGCCTGGTTCTGGACTCTGGTGAGACTGCAGATCTCCCTGCTGAGGGCTAGGTTTTTAATCACACAGTTAGGGCATGTGTGTGCACTGTAAACATGAATGTGTAAATAAATGCAGTACCCTTCCTAGAGGCTCGCTCCCTCTGCGCCACCAGCTCCCCACGGGCCTGGAGATGAGAGGCCTGCAGGCGGGATCCTGACCTTGATCCAGTCTGCTTCTGTTCACCCTGTTGGAGGGGCGGTGAGCTTGCTAACGATGGAGAAGACAATGGAACACCCTGAGAGCTAGCATAGCAGGTTGGGGCCAACTGTCGGGATGAGAGACTGATCTGAGAACAGTGTTGGGGTCACAGGGGTGACACCCTTAGGACAAAAGGGCCGTTGGTACCTGTACAGTCTCCAGCCAAGCAAACATCCCTCTCTCCCTCATAGCAGGGCAAGTATCATCCACCTGGCTAGGGTGCCTACCTGTGGCTGAGCGATGAGTGAGGAGCCCCACAGCCACACACCCGTCCCAGTCCCACTTCAGCAGTGGCAACAATGGTGCCCTAACCCAGAGGATGGAATCATTCTCTACAGGCTTCAGAAAGGCATTTTACTTGTCTCTCAGAAGCTGAGCTGCCTTTTCAGGTTGGCATAGGTAAGTGAACAATAGCTAACATTTCAAAAATAGATGGTCCAGTGTTCCTATTCTGGTTAAAAACCACGTTAAAGGCCCTGAGGACACACACCCTGCTATTCAGGAAATGCTCAGTCCCCTGGTTCTGGGGTCCCACTCTTCTCCCCACAGGTTCCTAAGACCTGAGAGCTGGCCACTGGCGGGGCTTGGAAGGTAAGGATATGGCTATGTGGTACAAGGGTTTGTCTTTTCAGAGCCCTGAGACTTGATGTCCTGGAAAGAAGCGAAAACCTGCATCCCATCAGCTTTTAGAGGCATGAGGGGTTGAAGTGTGTGTGTGTGGGGGGGGGGGGGGGGGGGGGGGGGGGGCCAAGTCTCTGCTCATACATCTGAGTAGTGTCCTCGTGCTGGGAGGGCTGGCCTCGAGGTGGGGGTTGGAACTCACTAGTCATTAGGTGGGAGGAAGCTGCGCAGTCTGCTGCTGCAACAGACGTGAGAAGAAACCTTATGGGACAGTTCCACTCCTTCCTCTAGGGCAGTGGTTCTCAACCTTCCTCATGCTGCGCCCCTTTAATACAGTTCCTCATGTTGTGGTGACCCCCAACCATAAAATTACTTTCGTTGCTACTTCATAACTCTCATTTTGCTACAGTTAT